TAAGGAAACAGCAGATTTGAACAACACTAGAGACCAAACAGAGCTAACAGACATACACAGAGCATTTTATCCGACAACAGCAGAATTTACATTCTTCTTGAATGCACACTGACCACGTTCTAAGACAGATCATGCATCAGGCCACAAAATAAGTCTTAGCAAATTTTAAAAGACTGAAACAATATCAAGTATCTTCTCTGATCACAAATGGCATGAAACTAAAAATCACTAACAATAGGAAAACTGGAAAATTCACAAATACATGGAAATTAAACACTCTCCTGAACAACCAGTGGGTCAAAGAAAAATTACAGGTGAAATTTAAAACAAAGCTTGAGACGAATGGAACTAGAAACATATCAGAATTTATGGGATGTAGCAAAAGTAGTTCTAAGAGGGAAGTTCACAGTAATAACACTTACATTAAGAAGCAAGAAAGACCCCAAAGAAACAACCTCAATCTACACCTTAAGGAGCCAGAAAAAAACAAACCAACTAATAATGTAATGGCATTGTATGGTGACAGTAGCTACACTTGTGATGAGCACAGCATAATGTATAGACTTGTCAAATCACTATGTTGTACACCAGAAACTCAACTATACTTCAATTAGAAAGAAAAAAAAAACTGAGCCCAAAGAAAATAAGAAAGATTAGAGCATAAATAAATGAACTAGAAAACAGAAAAACAGTAGAAAAGATTAACCAAACTAAGAGTTGGTTCTTTTGAAAAGATAAACAAAATTGACAAACCCTTAGTTAATAATCGAGAGAGAGAGGGAGGGAGGAAGGGAGAAAGAGAGAGAGAGAGAGAGAGAGAGAGAGAAAGGACTTGAATCAACAAAATTATAAATGAAAAAGGAGGCATTACAATGGATACCACAGAAATTCAAAGGATCATTAAGAGGCTACTATGAACCAACAATACACCAACGAACTAGACAACTTACAAGAAATGGAAAAATTCCTAGAAATGTACAACTTACCAATACTGAATCAGGAAAAAATAGAAAATCTGAATGAAGAAAAAATAGAAAATCAGGAAAAAACAGACTGATTACTAGTAAGGATAATGAATCAGTAAGCAAAAACCTCCCAATGAAGTAAAGCCCAGGACCAGATGGCTTCATTGGTGAATTTTACCAAACATTTAAAGAAGAATACCAATTCTTCTCAAACTCTTCCAAAAAATCAAAAGAGCAGGGAACATTCCTGAACTCATTTTACAAAGCCAGCATTTATCCTGTTACCAAAACCACAAAAGGACATACTAAGAAAGAAAACTAAAGGCCAATATCCCTGATGAATACAGATGCAAAAATTATCAAGAAAACACTAACAAACCAAAGTCAGCAGCACATTAAAAAGGATCATTCACCATGATCAAGTGGGATTCAAGGATGGTTCAACATATGCAAAATCAATGTGATACATCACATTAATAGAATGAAAAGAATCATATGATCATCTTAATAGACAAAGAAAAAGCAGTTAATAAAATTCAACATCCATTCATGATAAAATCTAACAAATTAGGCATGAAAAGAACATATCAACATAATAAAGGCCATATATGACAATCCTACAGTTTAACATCATCCTCAATTGTGAAAAGTTGAAGGCTTTTCCTCTAAGATCAGGAAAAGACACGGGTGCACATTCTCACCATTCCTCTTCAACACAGTACTAGAAGTCCTTGCAAGAACAATCAGGGAAGAAAAAGAAATAAAAGTCACTACAAAGACATGTAAAAGGAATGGCAAACAAAGAAGTAAAACTTTCTCTATTTGTAGATGACATTACTTTATATAAAGAAACTCTAAAGACTCAACCAAAAAACTGTTAGATGTAATCAGTAAATTCAGTAAAGTTGGAGGATACAAAATTAACAAAAAATCAGGAGCATTTCTATATGATAACAATGAATTTTATGAAAAAGAAAGAAATCAATCCCAATTTCAATAGCATCAAAAGCAACAAAATGCTGAGGAATAAATTTAAGTAAAGAAGGGAAAGATCTCTACTCTGAAAAATACAAGATGTTAATGAAAGAAATTGAAGAAGAAAGGAAGAAATGGAAAGGTATCCTGTGTTCGTGGATTGGAAGAATTAATAGCGTTAAAATGGCAAAAATACAAAAAGCCATCTATATATTCAATGCAATCCCTATGAAGTTGCCAATGACATGTTTACAGAAGTAGAAAAAAAACTCCTAAAAAGCTTCTGTACAGCAAAAGAAACCATCAAGAAAGGGAAAAGACAACCTATGAAATGAAAAAAACATATTTGCAAACCACATATCTGATAAGGCAGTGGTATCCAAAATACATAAAGAAATCATACAACTCAATAGCAAAAAAAAAGTAACCCAGTTAAAAAATGGGTAAAGGACCTGAATACACACTTCTCCAAAGAAGATACACAAAAGGCCAACAGGTAAGTGAAAAGATAATCAACATCACTGGTCATTAGAAAAATGCAAATTAAAACCACAATGAGATACCATCTTAGGCCTGTTAGAATGGCCACTATCAAAAAGATAAGGGATAACAAGGGCATGGATGAGAAAAAGGACCCTTGTGCACTGTTGGTGAGAAAGTAAACTGGTGCAGCCACTATGGAAAACAAGATGGAGGATCCTTTAAAAAAAAAAAAAATAGAGCTATCATGTGATCCAGCAATTCTACTTCTGGGAATATAGCCATAGGACAAAAACACTAACTCAAAAAATATCTGCACCTGCATGTTCATAGCAGCGTTATTTATAATAGCCAGACATGAAAACATCCTCAGTATCTACTGACCAATAAATGGATAAAGAAGTTATGCTATGTGTGTATGTACGTGTATGGATGTATGTGGTTACTACGGGTGGACAGTGCGGAGAGGAGGAATAGGAAAAAGGTGGTCAAAAGGTACAAGCCCCCAGGTGTAAGAGCAAACAAGTACTAGGGATGTAATATGCAACATGATGACTACAGCTAACACTGCTCTACAATATATAGGAAAATTGTTAAGAGTAAATGCTAAGAGTTCTCATTATAAGGAAAAAAACGCCCATTTTTTTCATTTCTTTTTATTCTATCTATAGGAGAAGATGAATATTAGCTGAACTTATTGTGGTAATTTCACAACATATGCAAACCAAACAAGCATGCTGTATGCCTTAAATTTATACAGTGATGTTTATTTCCCAATAAAACTAGAAAAAAAATTATAAGAACATAACAAAGATTTTGCTAGACTTATACTGTAAGAAACACCACCTGGGATGCCTGGGTGGCTCAGTCGGTTAAGCGTCTGCCTTCGGCTCAGGTCATGATCCCAGGGTCCTGGGATCGAGTCCCACATCGGGCTCCTTGCTGAGCAAGGAGCCTGCTTCTCCCTCTGCCTGCCTCTGTCTCTCTCTCTCTGATAATAAAATCTTTAAAAAAAAAAAAAAAAAAAGAAACACCACCGATTCAGACTAAAAAGAACAGGGATAATCCCTTTTAGAATGAAAAGAAGTTGTAGGGCCCCAAACGTCTATAGATAGGAATCAGTCTTAGAATCCTACTCAGCTACAACGATGGGCCATCTTTATGGAAAAACAATGATCCAGAAGTTAGAGACAAGAGCCATAGAGAAGCATTCGCAGGGAGAACTACTCTCAAAGCAAGGGATATTTTTCCCCCCTGTGGAACAAAGGGAAATCAGGAAATGTGTTTGCCAAGATTTCAACATTGTCATGCATCAGGGACTGCGATGTCCTTTCTAGTTTTGCCTTTTAAATAAGAGGTTCTATGAGGGTTCTTCTTTCTGTGTCTCCTCATTAAGTCTAGAAATGTGGCAGAGCAGGTAACTTGTGTCCTTAGTTCACAGGTCTTCAAGTTTGAGAGGACCAAAATTCAAGGAGCTGCACCTGACAAAAATGTACCCAAGGGGTCTCATGTATCTCTAGACTTAATTTAGATGACAACATCCTTGTTATGAAGCCTAGAAGAAACCAAGATACCCTTCAGCTGGGGAATGGATTTAAAAAAACAAACAAAAAAAAACTGTGGTATATCCAGACAAATGGAGTATTATCCAGCGCTGAAAAGAAATGAGTTAACAAGTCACGAAAAGACATGGAGGAACCGGGGCAGCGGGGGCACACCTGGGTGGCTCAGTCGGTTAAGCACCTGCTTTTGCCTCAGGTCATGATCCCAGAGTTCTGGGATCGAGCCCCGCATTGGGCTCCCTGCGTGGCGTGGAGCCTGTTTCTCCCTCTCCCTGTCTCCCCTTACTTGTGCTTGCTCTCTCTCTCTAGCACTCTCTGTGTCAAACAAACAAACAAACAAATAAATAAATATTTTTTTTTTAAAAGACATGGAGGAACCGGAAATGCATATCACTAGGTGAAAACCACTAATCCTAAAAAGCTACAAACTGTAGGACTCCAACTACGACATTCTGGAAAAGACAAAACTATAGAGACAATAAAAAGACAATTAAAAGGGGAGGATATAAATGGGGGCAGGGGTTATATGGGAAATCTCTGTACCTCCCTCTCAATGTGGTTTTAAACCTAAAACTGGTCTAAAAAAATAAAGTCTTTAAAAACGTTTTAAATCTTAATGTTATAGGTATGCATAAGATGTAACATAAAGCCACCCTCAACTCATCCGATCTCATTTTCCAAGATGCTTTGGACTAAATATGTTTTTATTCTGATTGACAGCAATAAGTCTAACTACCATGCTTACACTTGTACTTCTTGGTTTATCATCTGTAACAGTGCCTATAGGAGGAAGGAAACTTTGAGCCCTAAAGGAAAATAAATGAACTTAGAGAAAATACCACAATCTAACCACATTTCCTATTTTTGCTGATAACATTATTATTATTTATAGATTCTTAAATATCTATTTTGATTCATCAACTTTGAATAGCACTTCTTGACTCCCCGCTACATATGATGAGGAAAATAACAAACAGGCAGAAATCAAGACTCAAAATGAATTCTAAGAAGCATTTACCTTGTTCATAAAGTAGCTTCATATTTGAATCTTTGCAGGCAACCAGATTGTTGAGCAATGCAATCACACTTTGCATGGTGTTACCCAGAATGTTCTCCTGATGTTCCTGCAATAGATCACAATTTCCATCATAACTATACAGAATTGTAATTACATCATGATAGAGACAAATGATCAAATGACCTCCATCCCTTCATTCTTTGCACAAGGTCAAATAATTATCTTTCTCCACTTTAATGAAGCAGATCCTTCTGCGTTAAGGCACTCCCACTCCCCATCAGTGTGTTAAGTCAGCTGGGAGTCAGCATGAACCCTTCAGAGCACCAGCGCTGCTGCATGCAGTCCCCTACCCACAGCTGAGTGACAACCATACAGCCCTCTGGGCTTTAGATGGGGGACAGGGGAGTCAGAGTGACTAGGAATCAACTACACGGAGCTGAGAAGACCACACCTGAAAGTGACTGAGATCGCAAAATAAAGCTACCATGTCTCAGAGTGACAAATGCTGCAGAGTGACCAGGAGACCCCTGATGGACACATGGTTTCCAAAGCTTACAAAAACACCAGCACTGCATCTGGCTGTAAAGCACCTCTGTCGCCAGATGTGTACCTCCCAGCAACGCCAGCCACTTGATGTTCCGAGTCGCACCATCTAGGTCTTCGCTTGGTCTGAGACAAGGAGTTTGCTTTCCAAATACTGGTGCCTAAAAATTTCTACCTTTCTTTAGAAACACACACTTAAGAGTAGATGTTCATGTTTGAATGTTCCACTGACACCGGTTTAAGAAGATGAATAAGGAAGTGATGGTCTGCCACCAATTTCATCTAATTATTCATACAGTTTGTTGGAAGGAAAGGGTGATTAATAAGCACAAGATGACACATGTTATTCATGATAAAGTAACTAACGATACATAGGAAACCTATGCTAGTCAAGAAAAGAGAAGCTAATAAATCTTTTTGGTTTTTTTTTTTTTTGGTCCCATTCAATAAAATAACACATTTTGCTCCTTGTTCCAAGACCAGCCTGTCAGCAAATACAGGGCAGTTTCATTAGAGATAAATCCATTGTTCCTTCAATATACACATTTCTTATGATTAAATGTACCTCTTCTATGATGCTCTTGGTAATATTTTTGCCTCCCTGTGAAGCCAATACTTCAGTTTTCCCTTGCACTCACAGGGTGAGTGCCACTTGCTAATATAGGCATTTCCTTTAGTACAAAAGCCAACTATCCAAATCCCTATTACCCCTGAATACTACGAATCCAGGACTGTCCCCTGGCCAACCAGGTTCTCGGACTCCTGCCCTGAAGGTTCTAGAGTCCCTGCAAAATGAAGGCCTCTGCCAGCCCACAACTCAGTCTGCAGAGGGGCATAAAGCCAAGGTGCACTCTGATCATTAAAAGCCCCGGCCAACCATACTACTGGGGGTCTCCAGGATTGAATATCTGATGCAGGAAATAAAAGAGACCAATAATCCTATAACCAGACCAGGAGAAATGGTTCCTTTTCTTTTCTAACCATTATCAAAAACATTGTTGTTGGATTTCAAGCCATGCATACACTATGACCTTTGTTTAATATAAAGTGAGGGCTTTGTAAAAATTATAGTAGAGATTTCTATTTATGCACTCTTCTCTCTTGTAGATATATATGTGCTTCCTATATAGTGTTGAGGAGGAAGAGCATGGAACAGAGTCCTTGCTCCTGCTCGAGATGATGCCGCAGTTCTCCAGGGGATACTGAGACAGCTACTGCTATGGCTCAGGTCATCATTTCCCCCAGAAAGAATGAAATACATGCGAAGAGCAGTTGAGTAGGCATAAAAATGAGTTAAACACACTTCCATTAACTTCTATCAAATTGGTTTATTTCATTTCTCTTAGCAACTTTCGTAAGATTTGTTCTTGCTATTCACAACCATATTAGCCTACAGGGGATAAATGATGCATTGAAAAATACCACGGTTACTTAAACTCAGAGTAGAGGATTATATGAAGGGAGAAAACAGGGGGGTAAATCTGTGGGGCCAGAGTTGTTCTCAGGCACTCTACAAGCCTGGTGTAAAGACAAATGGGAAACTCAAGTTTGATTCAAAGACCACAGGCCAGAGTCGGAGGGGAGGGATGATCCCGATGAAAGACTGGGTCCCCAGTAGATGCTCCTCTAGGGCAGCCCCTCTCCCCAGAAAGCTATGACTGAGGTCCAGGGTAAAAAGATTATAACAGAAGGCTAGGAAAAGTCCTGATGTCTTTTTTTTAATCCCCACGGCTCATGAATAAAAGCAAGGAGTCCACACCATTGGCACCTCAATAAATGCAAGTAAAGCAGTATAAGGAGAGAGAGCAGCAGCTGATGACTTGCAACAGGGCCTTTGGCACAGGGTCAGGGGCCCAGGCACCAGTGGCCTCTGTGATGATCTTGGCCTGCGGAGGAACAAGGCAGTGCTGACAGTTTGCTGATGGGGCACTGGGTGCCAAGGCCCGTATCCCAGGCATGTAACCTATGTCACCATCACATCTGATCCTCACAGAAACACTGAAGTGGCTACAGGCCTCCCTTGCTACAGATAAGGCCGCTGAGGTTGGCGAGGTGAAGTGTAACTTGCCAGGAATCAGCCAGCTCTTCAGCGGTGAAGCTAGGACTGGGTCCGTGGGATGGCGGAAGCCACACACCTGATCACCATGCAGCGCTGCCTGCTGACCCACAGTCATGGGGCACAAGGAAGGAGAGACGGGGGTCAGAGCCAACAGCCCACCAGCACATCCCAGCTTAACCTGTACCACCTGAGGGCCCATGGGGTGAGGTGGCAGGAACGTAAAAGGGGCCCAGAGCAGGGGGTGGAAAAGCCGAGAAATACTGAATTGGGGCAGCTCTGGTAGCACTGCCCTCCCTGTGCCACCATGACTGGCATCTCTTGGCTTCATAAGCGTCCTCCGTAGATACCACAATGCTCTAAGGCATAGAATGCAGGAAGCAAGATGGAGGTGCTAGGCAACTCCAGGAAAGAAAAGAATAAGCTTTTACTCCAAAGACTGGAAATACATACCTTGAGACCCCGACCACAGGCCCACTGCTCAGACACTCAGCATGAGCCTTGGCGGCCAGGTAAGAAAGGCAGCCGAGCTCATCAGAAAAGGCATTGCCAACCACGCACAAAGCCACAGAAGGCAATCCCACTGCATTTTAAGATTATGACGAAAAAATCCTTTATCCATAACCCATCAATAAGCACAGCTGACCTAATTTGTGTGTCTAATGCCATAGTGTGCGGACATTTAATAAACAGAGCACTTGAGAGTTCTAATAAAACATAGCATTTGCCAGTAGAGATAATTAGAATTGAAGCAGCAAAATTCTAGTGTTTGGCAACATAGATGAAACAGCTTCATTAAAATGTACAGCTTCAGCAAATGAAAGGCAGGGGAGCACTGGACCCTAAAGAATCAGCCTTCTCAAAACTAATTGCTTCAGTGCTTAAAGAGGACAGCTCTGAACTACCAAGGGCACGGCAAGGAAACACTACTGAAAAATGATCAGCCTTCCAGAGCGGTTTCACTGTAAACAAAGCATTATACTTTCCTCTAATATCTGAGGACGGAAATGGCACTAGAAGATGTCAGATGGCCAGACTCAAAAGTTTGGCAGGGCTCTCAATAGTCAAGGCAGGAAACACCTTTAGCAATAGAAAGTCACGATGAGCCATGGTCACTCTCTTTTGCCCTTGGTATGGGCTCAGGATTCTAAAGAGGGCAAATTAAAAGACAACCACCGGTCCCCAGGGAGGTTGGAAACCAAGAGGAGGGAGAAAAGCAGAAGCACACGCAAGAGTTGTGAACGTGAAATGTATAATCTCTGGGAAATAAACACAGGTCACGTCCTACTCAACACACAGTGAAATCACATTTCAGGGGAAAAACTTTTTGCACGTTGCACTACAGGATGCTAGCCTACTGCATATGTTCTGGGACATAAGTACAGAGGTGACAGAGACTCTGTGTCTGCTCACTTTCCTTTTTATACTTTCTCTCGTACAACTAGATTCCTAGACATCTGGAGCCCACAGGAGACTCTTCAGAGCATTCAGATGAAATGAATGTATTGGACGGAGTGGAAGAGGACCATTTTGCATACTACGGATTTTTCACAAGGCTGTGCCACACACAGCTCCAACTCAATGTGATCTAAACTGAACTCACCCTGTCCTTTCCCCTCAAACATTGTCCTTGGCTTCCTGTCTCAGTGAAGGGCTCTACCGTCTGTCCACCATGCAGCCATAAATCCCGGAATCACCTGGGGCCACTGCCTCTCTCCTGCCTCCCACATCCCATCTGTGATAAATTCCCCTTGATTCTCCCTGGACCCCCTCTTGAAGCTCTCCTCTGCCAAAGATAAGGTGGGGACAGTTTGTGTCCTGTCTCCACTGCTCCTCCTGTCCTCCACTGCTAACCAGGCTCCTCCTTCTCGAGTGGCAAGACTCATCCCCATTCCTAGGGCTTAAATCTGAGGCCTGCAGGCCCAGGGAATATATTAGAGTCCACTGTAGGCCCAAGGTAGGGGGGCCACTGCTTCCCACAACCCCGTTTGTCCAGAGCCCCAGGGGGATTCAAAGGCCTGAAGGGAGGGAGGGCCAGGAGAATCAAGGGATGGCAGAAGCTAGGGTACTGTAGCTCAGCTGCTCTCAATCCCACAGATGTATCATGTTATGATTTTGGAAATATTCTCATATTTATTGGCCCAAATTCTGACTCCTGTGGGTAAAGAAAAGGGAAGGGAACAAGGTGAAGGAAAACAAATTTAAAATTAATTGCCACTCATTTACCTCATAAATAAATAAATACACACACACACATACACACACAAACACAGGATTTCCTGGGAGGCAAGGCCAGGATTTGGGCATCGAAAGCTAGAATGTTTGGGGTGTGATGAAGCTGGGGATGGGGTAACTACCACTGGGCATTTGCTCTGCTGGTTGTGAAACAGTCAAATAGCCTCTCTATCCTCTGGTGAGGGCTGCTGGGGGCTTAGCAGCCTCCGAGGAGGCTTAAGGAGAACCTCAAGCACGCTCTTCCCATCTGTAGCCAAAGATGTAGGATGCTGTCATCATACAGGCCTGGAGGTATAGAATTAAGTCTCTTCCTTGATTTCGGTCATCATCTTTCTGATTAAAAGACACGAGGGAAAAGAATTTAAATTTTTTAATTTGACTGACAGATAGTATAGAGGCCCTGTAGCAGCAGCAAATACAAATTCTTATTTGCAATACATTGCAGCTGACACAGAAGGGAGGCTGC